GGTGGCTCAGTCGGTTGAGTGCCCAACTTTAGCTCCAGGCATAATCTCTCAGTTCATGGGTTCAAGCCCCACGTCGGGCTCTGTGCTGACAGCTCAGAGCCTGGAGCCTGGAGCCTGCTTCGGATTCTGTGTCTCCCTCTCATGCTCTGTCTCTCAAAAACAAATGTTAAAAAAATTAATTTTAAAAAACTTTTAAAATTAGAGTGAGGCAATCATCTCAAAGGAGGGAAAATTTTATAAGTTAAAAGAATTACTAGCCTTTATCAGATAAAAGAAATCAAGGTTTTTTCCTTTTGTTTTTATTTTTTTAAGTCTATTTATTTTGAGAAAGAAAGCACACGAGCAGGAGAGAACAGAGGGAGAGGGAGAGATTGAGAATCCCAAGCAGGCTCCGTGCTGTCAGCTCAGAGCCTGATGCAGGGCTCCAACTCATGAACCATGAGATCATGACCTGAGCTGAAGACGTGACGCTCAGCAGACTGAGCCCCCCAGGGACCCCCAAAGTTTTTTCCTTAACCTGAGAAAGCAAGGATACAGACTCAGTCTCTAGCTTCCAGCAAGCAGGCAACATCCCTCGGGAACCTGGGTGAGACTCCAATGCCATGCATACGCTCGCCTTTTCTCCTTGTTCCTATCATACATGGGGTGACCACGTAATTTACTGTACAAGCTGGAACTTTCTGAGATATCAGGTGAGAAACCCAATATACAAATGAACAATAGCCAGGCTATATATAAAAGCAAAACTCTGGGGGCGCTTGGGTGGCTCAGTCAGTTAAGCATCCACCTCTTGGTCACGATCTCACGGTTTGTGAGTTTGAGCCCCACATCAAGCTCTGTGCTGCCAGCGTGGAGCCTTCTTGGGACTCTCTTTCTTCTTCTCTGCCTGCCCTTCTCTCACTTGCACTCTCTAAATAAATATAAATCATCTCTAAATAAATATAAATCAATCAATCAATGAATCAATCAAACAGAACTCTGCCTTACAACCTGCACCATCCAACCCAGGAAGCCAGTAGTCTGGCTGATAGAATGCCAGACCATTAATCTAACAAATAATCCAGGAGGCCAAACAATAAATCCTATTAACAACTGGCCCCACATGGCCAGGACTCCATTAATAACTGACAGTTTCCCTGGTTTTTGTCCCCACTCCCAACTTTAGGACCAACCAGAAAAAGCCAAGTCCACGCCCCTAATCACATAGGATGCCCCGCTTCTATACACCCTCCTGCAGCTTCCCCAGGCCAACAGCCTCCAACCAGGGCACCCCGGACGCCGTCCCTGTTTCAGCCACAAAGCTTCCCCACCCCTCCGCGTCCCTTTGAGTCTCTGCCAGAATGCAAGTGATGGTGGTGGCCTCCCCTGCTATTGCCAAGTTCTGAATAGTCTGCCTGTTCTCATTTGGGAGATTTTCATGTATTTCCACCAATTGCTACACTATTAATAACCATGCTGGATCAAGAGGTAAAAATCGGGACTATCCTAAGTCAGGATATAGATCACCCAAATTATAAAGCACAATTAGGCTGCCAGTGAGATACGAAGTTTGGGAGGGCCAAGGCGTGAAGCACAGAAGGTGAAATGTGCCAGTACCACTAGGTGGGGTTGGAGGACATTCCAATTACTGCAGGAAGTTCTTGAGATCGTATGCACTCTGGTTACTAGTCAGTCATCTTTTTGGTTTAGATGTATGATACTATTTAATCTGAACACTAGAATTGATGGAAGTTGTCTTCAGAGAAATAATTACCAGCAGGAAATCCACTGGAAAATGTTCAAGCGTACCATTATCAATACCTAGTATTAACTTATTTTCAATCACTGCCTGCTGCGCCTGATGTGGTAAAATGGTGAAAAACATAATGCTTGCCCTTAAGAAGTAGGCATTGTGGAAAAGTACTTCAGGTCTGTAGGGGTCACATAATTTGCAAATTTTCCCAGTGCAATATTTTTTGTTTTAATTTTTTAAATGTTTCTTTATATGCGAGAGAGACAGAGCATGAGTGGGGGAAGGGCACAGAGAAAGGGAGACACAGAATCCGAAGCAGGCCCCAGGCACTGAGCTGTCAGCACAGAGCCCAATGCGGGGTTCAAACTCACAAACTGTTAGATCATGACCTGAGCCGTAGGATTCTTAGCCGACTGAGCCACCCAGGTGCCCCTTTCCCAGTGCAATATTAAAATAACAGGCTACTTGTTCAAAAAGTTTTAAGAATTCCAAGGTGGAAACACTGTGTGTCAATTGTATTTCCAAGAAAAGAAGAAAGAAATCCTTTGATTAGGAACAATGAGAAATACTATATTGCTTAAAAGTAATACCTTCCTTTGACAGCCATACAAAAATTTTTAAAAAGCCTACAATTCTAGTGTTTAGGGTATTAAATTTCTTAATTAAATTAGGGTTGACAAAAAGATGGTCAAAAAAATAATTATCAAAGATGGTGCATTTCATATCATATATTTTAAATGTTTAATGCTTTTAATGATGAAATACTGTGAATACTATTACATTAAGCAAAATACATTTTTTAAGTTTATTTATTTTTATTATTTTTTTTAACATGAACTTTATTGGCAAATTGGTTTCCACACAGTTTATTTATTTTGAGAGAGAGAGAGAGAGAGAGAGAGAGCAAGCGGGGAAGGGGCAGAGAGGGGGGAGAGAGAGAATTCCAAGCAGGCTCCACACTGTGAGTGTGCAGCCCAATATAGGGCTTGACCCACGAACCATGAGATCATGACATGAGCCAAAATGAAGAGTCAGACGCTTAACCGACAGAGCCACCCAGGTGCCCCAGCAAAATATTTAAGTTTATGTATTTGAGAGAGAGAGTGTGTGAGCACGAGAGAGTGAGGGAGGGCAGGGAGGGAAAGAGAATTCTAAGCAGGCTCCACACTGTCAATGCAGAGCCTAAACCGTGAGATCATGACCTAAACTGAAATCAAGAGTCAGACACTTAACCGACAGAGCCACCCAGGCACCCCTAAGCAAAATATTTTTTTTTAATGTTTATTTATTTTTGAGAGAGAGAGAGAGAGAGAGCACGAGCAGGGAAGGGGCGGAGAGAGAAGGAGACACAGACCCCGAAGCAGGCTCCAGGCTCTGACTTATCAGCACAGAGCCGGATGCAGGGCTCGAACCCATGAGCTTTGAGATCATAACCTGAGCCGAAGTCGGACACTTAACCGACTGGGCCACCCAAGCACCCCTAAGCAAAACATTAAAAAAAAAAAAAAAAAACACATATAGGGGCACCTGTGCATGCACAGGTCATGCACCCATGAAGCCAGCCCTAAATGTAGAATAGTGTTCTATGACAAATTACACACTACAAACCATGCTGCTTTGTATGCAGTGTGATGCTGCTGGGCCCTTTAGCCTGCTTTTTTCTGTGTGATACATTTCACATGCACAGAATTAAATTACGTTTAAAAAGTTACTGGGCGTTGACTGTATTTGTGTTATTTACTGTATGAAATCTTCCCTGAAGCTTAATATAATCAAGTACATAAGTAACCTAATCATAAAAAAAGATATTGTAAAAAGGTATAATCGTAATTCTTTTGCTTTTCCCCACAAGACTCAAGGGCGGGGCAGGGACCGGAACTGGGAGGCACTCTAAATTTTTGTTCAGTGAGAGGAGGATTCCCTGGGTGGAGATTGTAACGAAGGGAAGTATGTGGAAAGGCTGAAAGGGAGATGGTTAGTTAGGAATCTACAAGTCATAGACTGGCCAGGAAGGGCATGATAGACCAGCGGAGATGTCGGTGAGAGCAAAGAGCTGCGTGTGATCAACATGTCTATTAGCGTTACCTTTCAGGACAACCGGAAGCCTCGGAGCAGCAGGAATCTCTTGTTTCTTCATAGCTGAACCCAGTGCCTGGGACACAGCAGGTGCTCAGTACTGACGCGTAAACGCAGGCAACGCTGCTTAGCTGCAAGCAGGGTGCACACACAGTGAAGTGAAGGCGGAGCAGGCAACGCTGCTTAGCTGCAAGCAGGGTGCACACACAGTGAAGAATGAAGGCGGAGCCAAGTCAACCAAAGTTTTGAATACCAGCGTGAGCATCTATATGGATAAGGACCACTGAAAAGGGCAGCCACGTGATCTGCACTTCCGAGGGAAAAATTACCCTGCGGTACCTTGAGTAAGAAGAGTCATGTGTTCACGTCTCACAGCCTTCTGATTCCATCTCCCCCCCCCCACCCCGACCCCAGCCTCAACACGCGATTAACCAAGCGAGCAAACGGAAACGAAAGCCGATTAACTGCGAGCGCGTGTGTGTGAACGCTGTCCGTTTGTGTCTCTTTAACTGCATAAAACTTTACGGGCAAATACGGACGTTTACCAAAATTCTGGGCAGCTTCTAGGTCAAGCCGTAGTCCTGCACTGGACGTGCTAGACAAACCAGAGGCGGAAAATCGGGCAAGACAACCAGGTTTCCGAAGGCGGCGGACGCCCCCCCCCCCCCCCCCCCCCCCCCCCCGCCGCACACACCCGCCGGGCCCGCAGGGGGCCTCCCTGCGGGTTCATCCCGCCTTCACCGTCCCAAGCACCCCAGGTTCGGGGTTTGCTAAGGTTGCAGCCAGGACCAAGGCGGCCTCGCGCAAGCTGCGGTCCGACCCCGACGCGCGAGCGGGAAGACGCAAGACGCTCGCCGGAAGCCCCAGCAGCCGCCACGCGCCCGTGTCCGCGCAGCGGGGAACAATAAAGTTGAGCGTGTTCAAAAGGGGTCCTCGGCATCCAGGGCCCGCAGGACAAGCCTGCAGGATAGGCCGCCCGGAAAGTCCCGGGTGTGGGCAGGTCTCCTCGTCCTCGGTGGCGTTCTCCTCACTCGCGGTGGGACAGCGAAGGTACAGCGCCGGGGGCACGGCCCGGGCGGCGGGCGGGCGGGAGAAGGCGGAGCGGCCTGCCCGGCGATCGCCGAGGGCAGCCCGGTGAGGATCCCGGTGCCCGTGGAGCCCAGCGTCCTGGCTGCGGCCTCCCGGACGCGCGATGAAGCCCCGGCCCGCGAGGTTAGTGGACAACAGGCTGAAGCAGCGAGTCGTGCAGGTGGGTATCGTGCGCGGCCCCTTCTCGGCGGCTCCCGGGCCAGCCTAGGCCAGCCGTCCGCCGCGGCCCGGGTCCTGGACGGGGTGCGGGCAGCCTTCCCGCCGCGGCGGGGCTGCCGGGGAACCGGGACGGGGCGGACCCTGAGGAGCCGGGGACCGGGCGGGTGTAGACCCTGAGGAGCTGGGGACCAGGCGGGTGCGGACCCTGAGGAGCCAGGACAGGGGCGGGTGTTTGGAGTGGGTTTGACGTTGTAATAGGTCCTTTGCATCTGGTTTTCTTGTTTTAAGTTTGAATTCACCTATTTTGAGAGAGAGCGAGAGAGGGAGAGAGAATCCCACCAGGCTCTGCACTGTCAGCGCAGAGCCTAATGCGAGGCTGGATCCCACGAACCGTGAGATCGTGACCCCAGCCAAAGTCAGTCGCTTAGCGGCCTGAGCCCCCCAGGTGCCCTGCCTAGGGTTTGTCATTTTTGTAGCCCTGGGTAGACAGTCTGTGTGCTGAATGCCTTGCAGACGCACAGTCTGCAGATACTCTTAGGAGGAGAGGGCCCGTTCCTTCACTTTGCA